TTCGCAATTAGAAGATCAGTAAAATACATCCACGGTTTTGATGGCCAATGTTAGCAACCTAATAACTGCAACAAAGGATCTACGTACTTACATCCAGACAAACAGCAATTTTGTGCACAGTGATTGCGTAGAGGTTTCTTTATGTAGGTGGTGCTGTGCTAGCTCGTTACCCTCAAATGACTTCAGAAAACCATGACTATACTGTTTTACGAGGAATTCCTCTCGGAACCACGATCAAGGTTATTTCGTGAGCAGACAGCGCTTTCTTATCTCGTAAAAACTGACCTATAAAAAGTTGATTGAATAATATTCCTAACAAGCTCGAAAAGGTACTACTAATAATATAATCTTGTAGACTTATACGATAAACTTTAGTCCAGCGACGGCGCAGATCCACTGCCCAAAACTGACGAGCTTTGGCAATCCTAAAAGTCTATATACCATCCAAGTAGCTTTTAGTGAACTGGATTCTTTGCAAAATGGCATAGAGTAAACCAAAGATCTCGGTTTAGTGAAGAAAAAGGCCAGCGAATGGGATATTAACCTGTATTTTAGCTGTAGGAACGGGATAGATGTGCACTTCTTCTACCACTTCTTTCTTCGTCTGGTTGGCGTAGGATTTGTGAACATCCAACGATCTTCAAGGCTTACTGAAGATAACACGGTCGCTCTATCAAAGGAATTATAGCACTTAAGATTTAATGAGTTCACTGGGAAGCAACGCAGGCGCATTCTGTTTCCCAGGAGCGGATTTCCTTAGGCCTATCCCTACATGCTCTTAAACCTTTCTAGCGAATACTAGGAGACTATTAAGTGAATTTCTACTAGGCTGTCTAAGCCCGCTTCGAGGCTTACACTACGATGCCTTATTTGTCTTTATTATTGTCTTCTGTAACGCGTTGACTCTGTGATGGAATGGCTCCCAATCTCTTACAGCCTTGGTAAACTTCGTTGCAGATAATATCGGCCACTATAATACCCATTTAATGAACTTCATCACATTTCGTTTCAACAGAATTACAACAATAAGGCAGAAAATTAAAAGTGTTAAACTCGGAAGAACTATCACAGGCGGATGGTCTAAATTTAAGGCTAGGGATATAACACCACCTCTTAGAGAACGGAGAACTATTCTGTCCAAATCACAATTACTAGATAGATAAGAGATATTTAGTACCTTGCATAACTAATACGTCCCACTGTGTCGCGTGTGCGCACGCTATCTGACTGCGTCCGACCGTACCTATGTAACTATGCCGTGTATTTGTAGTGTTCGCTTGCATCGTTAACAGCCATCGAATCGCGTGCAGTGTATTCATCTGCGGATTAAACATTCATTTCAGCGCGCCTCCAAACGATATGCAAACAGTTGTTGCTTTCCTCTATTTTCATACTTTATTGGCTATTTTTATTGTTGCGGGTTTTGTTGTTCCGTTGTTTTTTTTTTACTGTGTTTGTCTATTTTCCATTCCCATTTTTTTCCCCCTTGCGGTTCATTAATATAACTTTGTACCGCAATCAGCGCGTAATCGGCGCGAGCCGGCAAGTCAATCCGCCGCACAACTAAAAGCCCCATAAAAATGCAAATTCATGTTTATTAGCTGAGCTGCACTCAGTGCACATGCAATTCACACACAATGCGATCGGATCGCTTCCTCCACCAACCGGGAAAGCAGGCAGCCAGCCATCCAGCCATTCACCCAACTGCGTTGATGTGCTGTGCGTGGTGGCTCGAGGCAAGTAAAACGAAAGCCAAGAGAAGGTGGAGGGAGGGCGGCAGTAAAAGACAGATGTGCGCATTTTGCTTGGTGGATGCTGCATCTAACTGCCTGGCTGACTGGCCGGCTGGCTGGCTGGCTGGCTAAGTGCTGACTTCTACTTGCCTCCTGGATAGCTAGTAGTAAGCTGACGAAGTGTTAATGAAATTCTTGAGTGCGGCGCATCAGCTGCGGCCGTCGGACGATGGTGGCGCGTTCGCTTGCGGCTTTTGACTTAAGTAGCTGCTGCATTGGCACTTAACGTTGTGCGCTAATTCACTTTCAGTTGCATCTGCATCAATAGCTCGGTCGTTTGTTGTTGCTGCAGTTGTTCTTAGTTCTTAAGTGCTTAATGCGCAATATATTGCCGTTCAATGTCAGCACTTATAAATATACATATGTATGTATGTACATACGTGCAACAAAAATCATATGAATGCGTATAATTATGTTCATGTATAAATATTTACAGTAATTTTTAAATATGCAAACACGAATTTTTATACGACCGCTTGTTGGACTGCGCATGCGCCAGCGTCCAACATCATGGTCAAAGGCAAGGCATGCCAAGTCAAGGTTGGGGCGGCATGACAGAGCAGCGGTTGATGAATGGTTGAGCGCATGCGTTAACGTCAAACTGCCGTCGCATTGCCGCCAAGCGGTCATTGGCGGACACACCGGAGGCGCTGCCGGTACCCAAATAGTTTAGAATAACTACCTGAGTGACTGATGTGCGCATGAGTGGCTGGCTGGCTGCGCAATAGGTGTGCACAGCATGTTGACAGTGACGTAAACTACGTGCAAGGCATAGCCAATCGCACGCGTTAATCGCGCGCTTTGCCAGTTGTTTTGCAAAATCAGTGCGAAATGACGCGCAGGGCCGCGCCGGACGCCGCCGGACGGAACAGTGGTGACGACGACACCGTCAACTGCTTTATTCATAGCAATTTTTTATTGTGTCAATTTTGCGTGATGTCGCCGATTCGGAAAGGAAATGCGCAAGCAGCGTAAGCGCATGTGCGCAAACTGTGGGGCAAAACAAACATATATGTATACTAACCAGAATTTGTTTCCGTAGTGTTTTTTTTTTTAATTTGCAATGTTTTTCGTAATAAATTCTTTTCGTAAATTTTTAATAGAAATATAGTTCATTTTGCATTAAATGACGTATAAATTAATGATTCAAAGTTTTTACAAAATTTAGGAAAATTTGACAAATTTTCACCAAAATTTTCAACTTTTAAACAAAATGTTTTAGAATTTTTTTGAGTACGCATCAGCTAAAAAATTCACAAGAATCAACGGTAGTTAATAGCCACTTAAACTTGTACTTTATTGTACTGAAATTGAGTGAGCTACAAAACTGCATAATCAAAAATTCCAAAAAAAATTTTGTTTAAAAGTTGAAAATTTGTCGAATTTTCTTAAATTTTGTAAAAACTTTGAATCATTAATTTATACGCCGTTTGATTAATGAAAAAAATTTATTACGAAAAACATTGCAGATATAAAAAAAATACTGTACGGAAACATATTTTGTTGAGTGTACATTAAGGCGAGTCAACTTGTATGGGAGATTTTTTCGACTATGCGCGTATAGCACAAATGGATTTTAAGTGCAATTCTTAGCAAATTTGCCGAAGAAACCATGGGTCTAAAATCAATTTGGAATTTTCCAAAGTGCGAAAATAGGTTTCTTAGCATTTTGCTGAAGTGTAGTAAAGAAGTGCTTAAATTTTCCATTTCTGTACTTATATTTTTTCTTAAAACCTCCATCAGAGGGCGCAACAGTGAATCTTTTCACTTTTTTTCGAAACGAATTTTCGCAAATTGCAAACTCCAAATTGATTTCAGAACCAAGGTTCCTTCGGCAAATTTGCTTAGAATTACGCGTAGAACCCTGCCATGCTATAAGCGCATAGTCAAACAAAATTGACCCGCCCTAACATACATACATACATACCTAAGTACATATGTATGTATCTGCATAAAAAGAAAAACAAAAAAGCAAAAACCTTCAAGCATTGTGGATAAAAATGTATTTATTTTTTCTTTTGTTGCTGAGTTCCGCTGTCTTTATTGGATATAATGACTGCTGATAAATTTTCTCTTCCTTCCTGTCTACACATAATTTTCGACTAACAATAAAATAGAAGGATTAAGTAAATGCTTCATACGCTTGAAAGGTAATGCTAGTGAAGATGTTTATGCGATTTTGTGTGGCTTTGTTTTAAGGTTTGTTGCACTGTGTACTTATATACTTAATTGTAAAAATTTAAACACACTTTTGCACAAAAACTTATTTATGTAATTTATAACGAATTTGCACATATTTGTAGGATTTTTTTTTTCAAACACCCATACCTGTAGATGAGCTTAAAATCAAATTTTAGTTTTTTATTTCATCTCGAAGAAGAGTGAAAGTGCTATGTTTATTGGGTATCAATTTTAGGCGTCTGTGAGACCCTATGCCCAGGCTAGAGTTACAAAGAAAATCATGCCCATACATATAGGTTAAAAACAAATTATAATTTCTGTCACTAGTATATGTTTAGTTAGAAAATTAGTCGGTTTTTTTGAACCAGTCTAATGTATGTATATAAAAGAGCAAAATGAAAGGTTGTTTTAGATTATATTTTTGATTCACATAAAAATGTTTGAAAAGTTTTTTTTTAAAGCAAAGACCGACACCTCCACAACTTTCTGAGTTAATTAAAGCAATTAAATTTTTATTTATGAGACACACTTTTTTATGGGGGCCAGCATGGGCGACTTATCTCATTTTTGATCAAGTCGACTCTTGATACTTAATCCCTCAATAAACACGGTGAGAATTAAGGTATATATAGCATATATAAAACTTTAATAAGAACATAAATTTTAGGTCGCTCCCTATTTTTATTTATTTATTTTTTTATTGGTGCTTTTAATATGAGAATTGTTGAAAAAATAAATTCAAAATTTTATAAGTACGTGTGTAAATATATATGTGCATAGTAAATTTGAAATTAATGCTACCATTTCTATGTATGTAGTTCGCAATCAATGTTCACCATCAACGCTTCAAATCAACAATTACATACCTAGATTAGCCAGCAAAGTTTTTCCCTCCCCCTTTTTTCTACAAACTTTCAATCACATAAATTAAGACTTAATTGCGCTTACGCTTTCAGTGTACACCAAAGTGTGTAATTAAGAAGAAATGTTAAATTTTATCTCTAATCACATTTGCATATCTTACAGGAAATCATCGCAACACCTATGGCGACGTTATCGAACGAAAATCCTATCAGTGGCTTGGCGCTACAGTGTCCACCAGTCGTGACAACGATTTGATTGTGGTGAGTAAAATTAAAACAACAACAAAAAAACGACAAAATAGTTTTAATGAAAATTTATATGCAAAAAGAGTATTTAAATTATATAAGTTGCAAAATGCGAAAGTGACTTCATTAAAGACAAATTAAAGCAAAAGCGACGTTGCACAAATGACTTGCACTGACAGTTTCGTCGAAAGCTGCGCGGAAAACCTTGTACGCCAGCGAAAATTGGGTTTACGACATTGACAAATAAAGACGATATTTAACGATGCCAGTTACTTTATTTTATGTACATACATACTTGCACTTTCGTTTCCAATGGCGGCAGCGCGACTACTAAAAATGGTTGGGCGGTAAAAAGCGGCGGCATTGCTTAACACGGCAAGCAGCGTAAGCGATTTGTGGCGTACAAAAGCGCTGACAGTTTTAGTAGATTGCTAAAGATTAGTCATGCCAATGGACTTGCAACAGACATATGTAGGTACACATTAGGCTGGCACAAAACTTTCTTTCAGTCACACCCCCAGAACTGATGAATATCAAAAATAAGAGGGTCGACATTTTTTTTTTAATTTTATATTTAATGGCGTCACCTTGGCTTTGAAGTTTTCTAAAGATTTTATATGGGGAAAATAAGTTTCTGCATCAAATCGCTATAAAATCGTTAAAAAGTAATATTTTTTGATCGAATAAGAATATTTCTCTTCAGAGATTTAAAAAAAAATAAAACAATGACGCATTTTTAACTTTAAAATTTTACTAAATATTTTTTTCAAAATTTTTTTTTATTATGGGTTCGTAACCCCAACAAGTATGTTTTGAAGAAATACAATTTTTGAATGGAAATATTTTTATTCGATCAAAAAATATTTATTTTTAAAGATTTTAGAGGAGTTATGCGAAAAAATTTATTTTCTCCTAATAAAATACACGGTCAAATATTAGCCGGCGATACGGTTAAATTTTAACCGATTTTAAAATAAAAAATACGGATCTACTTATTTTCGATTTTCTACAATTCTGTGGGGTTGCAGCAAGAAAATTCCGTGAAGCTTACTTTCTTGTGTATTTTTGGACCACCCTAGTACACATTCAAGTATACATAACCTTATATCCATGTTGCGTCCATATGTATGTATAATTTGTGTACGTCTGTGACCGCCGACTGACAGACAGCCGGCCCAATATGAAACTGCTGAACTAGTTTCGATAATTTGTGGTCGCTGTGTGACGTGAGTGTTAATGTGTAGACACATATACATCCATACATAGGTAAGCACTATGTGTGTACAGATCTACGTTTGCTTGCTGTAAACGTAGATGTTGGCCATTATCATCGCTGTCGATAAGCCAACACCGTAGCGATTGGCGACAGCTCAAACGAAAAATATTGAAATGAAACATGAAAATCACGTCAAGACCAAAGAAGTTGGCCATTGAACGGGAACAAGTGGGCGCCGCAACATAAAGCCAGTCAACCTGTAGCAAGTGGGTGGGCGAATAACAAACACAAATCTGTATACATACATATGTACATATGTATTTATGTGTGTATGCACACACATACTTACATATATGCTGTTATATGTCTAATGCGAGCGCTCGTTGATCGCGGAAGTCACTTGGCGCGGGCGGGCCAATACGATATGCATTTATTTTCTACATAACTTTAGATTTCTTTTTATGTTTGTTTACTTGTAGTATTAGTAAAAACACTGTATGTGAGCGAATGTTAGAATGAAAAGTGAATTTTCGAAGCCATGACTCCAATTTGAAACTGCTAGGGAATTTGGTAAAGGGGAGAATTTTTAAACATTTTAAGTAAACAAGACTTGAAAGTATGATAATAAAATCAAATTAGCATAGCAATATATGTACGTATAATAAAAATTTCCACTCCCCTCTCCACCGTCTTGCATTTATAATTCCGCTGTGACGGTAAGGCACAGGTGGAGTGCGACTACACGTTATGCTGGGTATGCAATTACAGTTGCACGGCTATACTCAATTCCGACTCTTGCGTCCTCGTTCGCGCACTCTAGGCAACGTGAGCAACCCATGTGCAGGATGCGGTAACCAATCCGAGTGGAGCTTTGGGTCGCGGCGGAAAGAGAGGGAGGGCCACTCCTACTTATTCGGGCTTACTGAAGTTTGCAGCGTCTGTTCACCAGTAGGTGCGGCTGCAAGCGGGTGACTGTCGTGGAGCAAGCGGCTCGGTATAGAAGCGTATATTCGGTTGCTAAACCACCCCCGCCCCAGCAATGGATTGTGCGCTGGGTTAGGGACCCGCCACGTTAGAACAGGCTCTAACGAAAAATAAAAACAAAGCCTCGGATGAGAACCCCCTTTTGGTAACGACCACGGCAATCGTTTAAAGGACTACGATTTGCGGGCATGCACCTGCAATGTCCGGACCCTTAATGGGGAAGGTGGCTGACATTCAAGAAATGCGTTGGACGGGGCAGGGCCTTGCGAACTCTACTACATCTGCCATGAAAAGGAGCGAAAATTCGGTGTTGGATTTGTGGTGGGAGTGAGACTCCGTTGCCGAGTACTGTCGTTCACCCCAGTGGGCGAGCGTCTAGCCACAATTCGCATCAAAGCGAGATTCTTTAACATCTCGCTCATCTGCGGCCATGCCCCGACTGAGGAGAAGGAGTCCAAGGATCTCTTCTATGAGCTCTTGATGCTTACATAAGAGCGCTGCCCCGCCATGATATCAAAATCGTGCTTGGCGACTTGGGTGGGTAAGGAAGGGATCTTTGAAACCACCATCGGAAAATTCAGCCTCCACGACGAAACGGCCGAAAACGAACTGAGGCTGATCGACTTCACCGGAACCTGAAACATGGTAGTATGCAGTACTAGGTTCCAGCATGAAAGGATCCATCAAGCTACGTAGTTGTCTCCAGATCAAAAAACGAAAAACCAAATCGATCACGTTGTGATAGACGGAAGGCACGCTTCCAGTGTTTTGGACGTACGTACACTTCGAGGTCCAAACATTGACTCGGACCACTATCTTGTTGCAGCCAAGATACGCAACGACTCGCACACCCGATCTCAGAGAGCACTCTTCAACAAACCGACATAGCGAACAGTGGAACCACATTTCCCGTTCATTAAGTACCGCCGGTGAAGAAGTAGTGGGATGTCAGCGAGCCCGAAAGAACAACTAGAACGATGAGGAGTGTCAAGAAGCTGCGGAGAAAAAAGATGATGCCTATGGTGACCATATGTCGTCCCCATGGATTGCGCCCCGTAATCAGTCCTACCAGGGCTCGTAGATCACTCCTTCTTTGTCTGAGAAGAAAGGCCTGTCAGGCCTTTTCAGGAAACACTTGGTTATTTTGCAGGTGTAAATAGTGCACCAACGGCTCTCATGAGTTTTGCTTATGAGATCCTTGATGCACTGGATCGTTCCCAGAGAACCGCAGTTCGCCAATTCATCAGCCACTTCGTTACCTTGAACACCGTAGTGTCCTGGCACGGAGTTCAGATTCAACTTACATTCCTGGACTAACTTGAAAGAGCTTCGAGCGGTTTCCAGGGTCTTTAGAGCAGCTTGGCTGTCACTGCAGGTCCTGATTTTATGTCTGCGCTACCTTTCGCCAGTTATCCAGTCTGCAACTTTCAGTATTGCAAAGAGTTCCGATTGAAAGACCGTTGTCATTGCACCCAAAGCGGCAAGGTGCATGAAGTTTCCGTCCAGATGCCATCCATCTCCACTACGGTGTATGTTACTCAAGGACGATGTAATATCGCGCTCAACAGCTGAGATATCTATGCCTCTTTAGATCAATGTCTGAGAGATAAAACTATAGGCAGAGCAACCCCCTTAGACTCGAGTAACCTTCCGACCTTACAATTCCAGTACTAAATGGCGGAATACTTCAATTTCCCTTTGACATAAGTATGGTCCAAGAGAGTTTTAAATTTCAATTTGTCCCTAGCAGTCTTTGGAAGGTCTTACATAAGAATGAAAGAAGTTAAATTAACAAATCTGAATGGTTTAGGCGGGTCAGTGGACCAGTTGCCTTATTTAGTAACATATATGACGGATACCTTCTTTTAGTTGATCGGTATGTATTTCCAAGTATAATAAGCCTTAAATAGATAGATCAGCGCATCGACGATATCATCAATGCTTCTCTGAAATAATGCAGGAAAGATACTACCACCATTTGCGGCTTTCATCGGTTTAAAGGACTCTAGAGTCCTCCATTCATTGTTCCTTTCCAAGATGGAGCCAGATCTGCCATGACTTCTTACTTACTCTGCGGAACCCATGTTCCAGGGAGGCAGGTGTCAACCGATCTTGCTCCGCAAGTGGGCAAGGGGATTTTAAAATTTATGTAAAGTCTCAGCATTTTGTTAAGTCTATTCCTACTATCATTCCATGGAATATGCCATTTTTAAAGACTTCGTTCTAAAAAAAATCTTTTGGGGCACGTCAACCACTAAATACCGCAAACGTCCATTGCTCAATCAGCAACGTTCACCTACCACATTGGCCACATTAGACAGCATTGCAAGCGTGTCGATATTCGATTTCAGCTTTTCAATAAAGTTTCATGCGTTTGCATTTCAAATTATTTAGTTTTCCACTTATCATACATATGTATGTACAATAGGGTGGTACAAAAATACATGCGGGCGAAAAAAGTTTAAAATTTTAAGCTTTCATTGCTTAGGATTTTTCTAAATGGAAAAGAGAATACCCGTATTTTTTTGTTTAACAAAATTTTATATAGAACTGCCTCAAAGCCCATGAAGTTTTACATGTATTTAATATTTCTATCGGAAAATTATGTTTCTCTTCAGGAGCCTTCCAATAACAATGCCCAATCGTTTGTTTAATAATTTTTAAAGCATATTAACTATTTTCATAAGTCCCCCAAAATCCCCAAAGAGAGCAATAGTTAGTATTAAAAAAATTGTTAAATTCAAAAATTGAGTGTTATTATTGGAAGTCTCCTGATGAAAAGCAGAGTTTTCCGATCGAAAAATATTGATTTTCA